CCCCCCTCCCGTTCCCATCGAAAATCGTCGGTGTGGGTAGTAGTAGGTACGGTAAGTTTAGTAAGCAAGTCTTAGTGTGTGGGTTTAACTCCTTTCAACACTGTAAGGTTATTTAAGAGTCAGGATTTCGGAATTTGACATCCATCTCCAAAAAGACCGAACCAAATGGGTTGTGAGCCTTTAAAACTCTAAAATGCAATCCACTGTTAGACATGTAATAATAAACGTTCGTCCATCAATCTCTGCCGATGACCAAAGCCATCCTCAGACGACAGCACAATAGAAGAATTAAAGGTTAAGATGATTTCTGCTATGGGTAATGAGACCAATTCTGGCAGAGACATTTACTACATGTATCTATATGGAGAACAGTACCTCAAGTGTTCGTTGTTGAAGTTCCCCGCGTGGTGGCGCCCGGTCACGTTTCGTCTGCTCACGCTGGTGTCGGTCGGGCCGCTCATCCCCGGCTCCATCTCCTGAACTCGTGACGCCATCAACCGACGTCACACATACACGCACACACACACACACACTGTCTCTCTCCTCGCCCCGACTCTGCTGACCCGATTAAAACCTCCAACAGTCAAATGATTTTGTTTACACACGTCTTCCTTCGAAAATCACACCTTATTGCAGAGGTGACACTGTGACGTAAGCGTGTTTGGTAGGAACCCTTTTGCTTTTCAGCTTCCTGCCAAAATCACATTATAATACTACACCGGCGAAAAACTGTTTCATGTGTTTTTGCAGGGAGGTTTCTGGAAATGTTGTTCAAAGGCAGAGAGTTCGAAACCCCAAGGAACAGGATCCGACGTTCCGTCTTTCCAAATGATACTGACAACACTGCGCAGATGAACCCTTCCCTCTCCACCGTGGTGAGAATTGAGTACGGCACCAGAATCGGTAAAAAGATTCACTTCTGTGCAAGATTGGTGTCCTTCAAGAATTCCGGTCTAAGGCTCTATTCGTCGACAAGCATGATTTTGTGCTGTCAAAGTTGTTTATCCGCCAGAATATAATACATGCATTTAAAAGTTTTCTTCTTTCAAGGTCACTACTTGTTGAGAATCGGTAACGATGCTTGCCAAGAGCTTTCAAATCAGGGTCTTGAGGAGCAACAGAAACTGCGAGATAGATGTTTTGAAATAGAATGCTTAATTGTTTTTTTCCTGCTCTTGCCACGTCCCCAAAAGAAACAGAGAACAATATTCACAATATTCTTTAATCAACAGTACACACAGCTCTGGGGTCACAATAATCTTTACACCGATGAGTACTGAATTTCACCCAGTGGCAAATTAAATACAAAATTGTAAGGGGCTAATGTTTACTGGCCAATGTAGGTAAAAACCACTTCGTATGATGGACCTACGTAAACGTCTGATTCGCGAGCCAAAATGTTTTTAGTTTATTACTCACGATGTTGTTGCTGCCCTCGGAATCACTGGTTCTGGGAGCAAAAATGCCTATGCTCTCTCTCTACGCCAAAGTCTTGCCTTCTATACTGGCAGGATGGAAGACGAAGTCGTGTATAAATAGCCAGAGAAGAACACACACAGATGGTTTGTATGCCAGTGCCAGCGGGTGACCACAGTTCCACAGACAGCGACCTTGCCGTCCGCTGGGGGGAGACAACCGTTTCACCTGTTTGTTTGTCACTCACACCCCAGCCGCGCAGTCGATGGTCACGATGTGTGAGGGTGTGAGAGGCGGGGGAATGTATGAGGGTGTGAAAGAGGGGAGGGTGTGTGTGAGGGTGTGAGAGGTGGGGGGGTATGACGGTGTGAAAGAGGGGAGGG